AGGAAGGCCCAGTTAGGATATCCACATTGCTCTAGAGCCTGTCTTGTGTGGGATTTCTCCTTCTGCCTGGCTCCTGAGCTAGTGGGGACGCTGTCTGCTCTGTGATACAGAGTCCTGATGACTCCTAACTTGTGCTCCAAAGGGTGATGGGAGTCAAACTGCAAATACTGGTCTGTGTGGGTGGGTTTGCGGTACACCTCAGTTTGCAAATGTCCTCTATCAGAGACTGAGACCTCACAGTCCAAGAAAGCCAACCTGCCATTTTTTACATCTTCTCGTGTGAACTTGATGTATTTATCCACAGAGTTGATGTGGTCAGTAAAATCTTGGACTTCCTGAGATTTGATTTTAACCGAGGTGTCGTCAACATACCTGAACCAATGACTTGGTAGTGTCCCTGAAAAGGACGTCAAGGCTCTCTTTTCTACCTCCTCCATGTACAGGTTGGCAACAATAGGAGAAACTGGAGACCCCATAGCACACCCATGTTTCTGCCTATGATATTGCTCCCCATATGTGAAGTAGGTTGACTGCAGGCACAGTTTCAAGAGTGCTGTGATTGCTAGTATCACTCAGCCCTCTGTGAGTAGTAAACAGCCATCAGGTGCTAATGATCCATTGTTAGGCTGATGGTCCTTCTTGAGCATGTGATCAGCTGGTTCTGGTTGTCAGCAGCAAAACTGGTTGATCCACTCTGAGAAGGTGCTATTTAAGAGACTGAGCTGAAAACAGCACCTCAGACTGAGGAAGTCTCTCGGATGAGAGACGAAACGTTTCTACATTTTTTGTTGATTTGCTTTGTTTTGTTTTTTTTGAATGTCCAGAGGACCAGATTTAACTTTTTTAGATATGTATATGAATGTTTCTGTGCAGGAGTCTTGTCAGGTATCCTCCAGTTGTCTGAAAGGTGTGTCAGATAGTTGTTATGTCAAGTGTCTTACTTGTGTCAGAGGTATCATGTTCGGTGTCTTGTCAGGTGTGTGACAGGTCTCTGACGGGTGTTTGACATGGGTTATGTCTGATGTCTGACAGGTGTCAGACAGTGATGGCTGTTTCTTAGTTAAATGTATTTCCATCCATCCATCCATTATCTTTTACCCGCTTCTTCCATTTTAGGTCACAGGGGTCGCCGGTGCCCATGTCCAGCAATCAATGTGCGAGGGGCGGGGTAGTTAAATGTATTTGATTTTTTAATTTGATTTATTTTTATTTGATTGCTATGGGCAGCTCCTCCCTGGGCTGTCACCTTACCGTGGTGGAGGGGTTTCGGAATCAGAATAAACTTTATTGGCATTGCACCAAGATACAACGAGAATATGTACGTACAGTCATCCGAAAGATGGGCGGAGTGCACGAAGCTGCGGCTATTAAATAGCGCGGCCCTCTTATTCTTATTCAGAATAATATTTTGCTTAGATGAGAAAAGGGAAGAAAACATGAGGAGAGACGGTATAAAAAAAAGATCTCTCACACCGTGTCCTAGACAGGGCACGATTTGAGGCAACAAAAAAACCTACCACAGCAAAGCAACATAAACAGACGTTATACATGAACATATACTGTAGGCGGTGAAAACATTGAATTTTTAAGGGAAAGTCGTAGCATAGTCCAGAGCCCCCCCTCTCAGCCATTGTCCAGATAAGAGGTGACATTCATCATCAGCTCAGTTGAGGTTCTGTTACATGTCCACGGCCTTGGGGAAGGGAGGGGTGAGGAAACAGTCAAAGCATCTTTGTTGTTTTCAAAACATTCCAGGAGGAGTTGAGATAAGTCCAGCGTCAAGGCCACAATTTGGGTCAGGCGGAACTCAGGAAGACAGGGAAACACGTCTGGTTTCACCGGAGGATAGAGGGGAAAAAAAATGTGTCCCAATGATCCTAAGAACTATGCTGTCAAGGGCTTCATGCCCCTAGCAGGGTCACACAAGGCAGACAGGTCCTAGGTGAGGGACCAGACAAAGTGCTGCCCACAGACCCCTATGATGAGCAAAACAAATGGAATCAATGTTCCCTCGCCCGGATGCTGGTCTCCGGGGCCCCACTCTGGAGCTGGTCCTGGAGGTGGGGCACGCTGGCTAGTGCCTGGTGGCCGAGCTTTTACCCATGGAGCTCGGCCGGGTACAGCCCGAAGAGGAGACATGGGTCCCCCTTCCCATGGGCTTACCACCTGTGGGAGGGGCCAAAGGGGTCAGGTGCAATCTGGGATGGGTGGTGGCCGAGGGCGGTGACCCTGGCAGTCTGATCCTCGGCTACAGAAGCTGGCTATTGGGACTTGGAATGTCACCTCTCTGGTGGGGAAGAAGCCTGAGCTGGTGTGTGAGGTTGAGAAGTTCCGGCTAGAAATAGTCGGACTCACCTCAACACATGGCTCTGGAACCAGTTTCCTTGAGAGGGGTTGGACACTCTACCACTTTGGAGTTGCCCCTGGCGAGAGGTGCCGAGCAGGAGTGGGCATACTTGTTGCCCCCAATCTTGGTGCCTGTACGTTGGGGTTCACCCCAGTGAACAAGAGAGTAGCCTCCTTCCACTTACGTGTGGGAGGATGGGTTCTGACTGTTGTTTGTGCTTATGCGCCAAACAGCAGCTCAGATTACCCACCCTTTTTGGAGTCCTTAGAGGGGGTACTGAAGAGTGCGCCTCCTAGGGGCTCCCTTGTTCTACTGGGGGACTTCAACACTCATTTGGGCAATGACAGTGAGACCTGGAGGGGTGTGGTTGAGAGGAATGGCCCCCCCTATCTGAACCTGAGTGGTGTTCTGTTGGACTTCTGTGCTCGTCATGGATTGTCCATAACGAACACCATGTTCAGGCATAAGGGTGTCCATATGTGCTCTTGGCACCAGGACACCCTAGGTCGCAGTTTGATGATCGCCTTTGTTGTCGTCTCATCTGATTTGCAGCCGCATGTCTTGGACACTCGGATGAAGAGAGGGGCGGAGCTGTCCACTGACCACTACCTAGTGGTGAGTCGGCTCCGATAGTGGGGGAGGATGCCGGTCAGACCTGGCAGATCCAAACATATTGTGAGGGTCTGTTGGGAACGTCTGGCAGAGTCTCCCATGAGACAGAGCTTTAACTCCCACCTCCAGAAGAGCTACGAATACGTTCCGGTGGGGGGGGGCATTGGGTCCAAGTGGGCCATGTTCCATCGCCTCTATTGTCGAGGCAGCTTATCAGAGCTGTGGCCATAAGGTTGTCGTGCCTGTTGCAGCAGTAACCTTCGAACCCGGTGGTGGACACCGGCGGTGAGGGATGTTGTCAGGCTGAAGAAGGAGTCCTATCAGGCCTTTTTGGCCTGTAGGACCTCGGAAGCAGCTGGGTACCGACAGTCCAAGTGGCATGTGGCTTGGGTGGTCACTGAGGCAAAAACCCGGGCGTGGGAGGAGTTCGGAGAGGCCATGGAGAATGACTTCCGTACAGCTTCGAGGCGATTCTGGTCCACCATCCGGCGTCTCGGGGGGGAGGGGGGGGGGTGCCACCAACACTATTTATAGTGGAGGTGGTATGCTGCTGACCTCAACTCGGAATGTCGTGGGTCGGTGGGCAGAGTACTTCGAAGACCTCCTCAATCCCACCGGCACATCTTCCACTGAAGAAGTGGAGCCTGGGGACTTTGGGTTGGGCTCTCCAATCTCTGGTGCTGAGGTCACTGAAGTAGTTAAAAAGCTTCTCGGTGGGAAGGCCCCAGGGGTGGATGAGATTCACCCGAAGTTCCTAAAGGCTCTGGATGTTGTAGGGTTGTGTTACTTACACGACTCTGCAATATTGCGTGGACATCGGGGCCATTTCCCCTGGATTGGCAGACTGGGGTGGTGGTCCCCCTATTCAAAAAGGGTGGTCGTAGAGTGTGTTCCAACTACAGGGGGATCACACTCTTAAGCCTCCCTGGTAAGGTCTATTCAGGGGTTCTGGAGAGGAGGGTCCATCGGATAGTTGAACCTCAGATTCAGGAGGAGCAGTGCGGTTTTTTCCTGGTTGTGGAGCACTGGACCTGCTCTACATCCTCAGCAGGGTCCTGGAGGGTGCGTGGGAGTTTGCCCAACCAGTCTACATGCACTTTGTGGACTTGGAGAAGGCATTTGACCGCGTCCCTCGGGGAGCCCTGTGGGGGGTACTCTGGGAGTATGGGGTACCAGGCCCTTTGATACGGGCTGTTAGGTCCCTGTACGACTTGTGTTAGAGCTTGGTCCGCATTTCCGGCAGTAAGTTGGGCTCATTCCCAGTGAGAGTTGGACTTTGCCAAAGTTGTCCTTTGTCACCTATTCTGTTCATAACTTTTATGGACAGAATTTCTAGGTACAGCCAAGGTGTTGAGGGAATCCGTTTTGGTGGTCTTAGGATCACTTCTCTGTTTTTTGCAGATGATGTGGTCCTATTGGCTTCATCAAGTGGTGATCTTCAGCTCTCACTGGAGCGGTTCGCAACAGTGTGAAGCAGCTGGGATGAGAATCAGCACCTCCAAATCTGAGGCCATGGTCCTCAACCGGAAAAGGGTGGATTGCTCTCTTCAGGTCGAGGGTGAGTTTCTGCCTCAAGTGGAGGAGTTCAAGTATCTCGGGGTTTTGTTCAGGAGTGAGGGAAGAATGGAGCGTGAGATTGACAGACAGATTGATGCAACATCTGCAGTATCGCAGACTTTGTACCGGTCCATTGTGGTGAAGAGAGAGCTGAGCTGTAAGGCAAAGCTCTCTGTTTACGGGTCGGTTTACGTTCTTACCCTCAACTATGGTCATGAGCTCTGGGTAGTGACCCGACTTCGGAATAAGCAGAAGATGATGGATGGATGGATGGATGGATGGATGGATGGTATTCGATTTTCACTGGAAACTTTAGGTTTTAGATTGCTGCCATGCCCCTGAACAGTGGAACCAGTGATCTGTAGTACTTGCTGCTACAGTTGTTTTGAATGCTGCTCTTTTGCAAAGCAGACTGTACTATTCATAGAAACATCATCAGGTTGCTTTCTGATGCTTCCAAAACGTCACTTTTCTATTTTTATGTGTTTTGTGCACTCAGGTTGCAGCTCAGAGACAGAGAGCTCTGGCCATCATGTGTCGAGTGTATGTCGGCTCCATCTACTACGAGCTTGGGGAGGATACCATCAGACAGGCTTTCATCCCTTTTGGACCAATCAAAAGCATTGACATGTCCTGGGACTCCATCACTATGAAGCATAAGGTCAGGACTTTATGAGAGCTAAGTGAAAATGGAAGATGTTGTTTACTGTAACCCCAGATTCTATGAGTATAGGCGCAACCCTTTAAGGCTGTTGCTAGTGAGTTTACATTGCGTGCAGTGCGCAGCACTGAAACTTTAGTCCACCCCTACCTGCGGTGTGGGCCCTATTCTCAGTCTGTTTAAATATAAATTGCCCTGAGACTGGTAATCGGCTCCCAAATAGTGTTTTTCTTCATCCATTTAGGAGCCAGTGAGGCCCAGTTCTTAAAGGGCTGCACCTATACTCATAGAATCTGGGGTTAGGGTGACAATCAAAAGAGACGCTTTTCATTTCACTAATAACACGCTTTAGTATTGCTAAATGGAGAAATATCTATCTACTCTGTGAAAAAAGAACACCTCATTCATGAATGCAGTTTGTTACATATATATTTTTACATTTTCATAAGAAAGACTTTTGTTGCAAACTTTTCCAAATCTGATGACTGTGAAAGTACCCATTTGTGCTCTGTCCCTGTGGGGGACTTCGTCTTCAACATAGCGGGTCTCAGCTTCAGTGAGCAGCCCGTTACTTTTAACGAAGGAATGTCCACCTTCGTGGAATCGCTGTGTTTACCTGTAGGAGATGCTCCGGTGCTTTCAAGCGCCGCCGGACCGGAGCAGAACCGGGCCAGGGACAACTTCAGCCTCTTCGTCTCTCGTGCTGTGGAGCACCGGAGCCGGACTGGAGCAGAAACGGACCGGACCAGTGTCGACTTCAGCCTCAGCCTCTCCGGTCAGTCTCGTTTTTTACCGGGGGTGCCTCTCGTGCTGTCAGGTGCGGAGGTGTCGTGCAGAGAAGCGGAGAAGCAGAGTGGAGGAGCAGCGTGGAGGAGCAGGGCTGCGTGGTGCTCGAGAGAAGTTCGGAGTTTGCGTCGGAGTTGCTGCAGGCCTCCATCCAAACTCACCTGGATAATAATTAATTTTATTCCAGATCACGCTGTTGGCCCCTGTTGATCTGAAACAAGCTTGGATCATGCCTTTCACTTCAGGAGGATTTTCTGGCAGCTCGCTCTGCTATTTGATGCGAATTATCTGTTTCTGTTTCGGCCTGTTGATTCTGGATCCAGCTTCTGTTTCCCATGGGAGCATCCATCCATCTTCACTGGGGGGCCGGAGCCCCCCTCAGCCCAACTCAAACTGCAGTTGGGCCACCTCGTCGGGTTTGTTTACCCATTTGAATTGTGACGTTTTATGGTCTGAGACTTTTCTGCATCATTCATATTATTGTCACTATTTTCATATCTCAGATTATCTGGAGTCACTGAATCTTGTTAATACACCTGAATCTGATGTAGTGAACTAGACCTCCAACATCAATCTGTCTCCGAGGACCATCATGGGACAGGAACTGTTATTTCGTTGATTTGAATCCAGAAATACAAATGATCTCATCAAGAGACTATTTAATTGTATCCTGAATTAATCAATTGAAAGAACACGCTTCTTTTTTATATTATCATTAACTATTTTACAATATCTTAATAATCAAAAGTGTGTTTAGTTCATACCATTTCTAAATGTTGAAGTAAACCACTCATTTAAATCAACTGTGAAACAGTATTAATGATTTTTAAACCTCATTAGACTTGGATCATACAGTTAAATATCTATTTACGAAGTAAGTGTGCATTTAGTCTTCTGTCTGAATGAGGAGTATTGGATTTGAGGGCGAAAGTCAGAGACAAGTTATGAGAACGAAGTGTCTTGTTTTAAAACTCTCAGACAATAAATAAGAACTGGCTGGCACCTGCATCCTCTCATTTCTTCAAAATATTTCTCTGTCTGTACTAACCGTTCTTAAAACATTTCTGTGGTCTCCTGACTTCTAATAACCCTCTGACATCACTAAAACTACACCCCTGCTGGTTGTTTCAACCAATCAGGAAGTACCAAGTGACAGGAAGTGGATACCCTTTAAAAGGCAACACTTGGAACTATTGAGTCTTTCCCAGTCTCTTAGTCTTCCTGGAACTTTCAGTCGAAGATGAGACTCAGTCTGATGGAGTCTTACAGCTGAACTAAGTAGCTGATGGATCTGACCATGTGCCAAGGGTCCGTCCATTCCAGCGTAGTCACAGCCTGCCTCGGCTGTGACTCAACCCGAGCATTAAATGTTCAACTTCTAAGGAAGCTTATTCTGTTGAACTGAGTACTTTGTCACGACTTCTGACGACCCCAGCCACTCTGACCGGAGACGCTGAAACGGGAGCATGCCAATGGACCTCTGTTCCGGAGTTGATGTATCCTCTGCTAAGGTAACAAAGTCGTTGCACGCCCTGAAGTGTACCGGAGGACTGAGCTGGATTCGGAGGAAGGGTGCCATTTTTCTGGTTCAACACATAACTTTCATCCATCTAAAGCTCCTCTTTAAATCTATTCCTTCTCTTTAAACTTCTATTTGCCAGTAAATCAAGCTAGATGCCTTCAGAGATGAATCAGTCTCAATCAGCAATCTTCTGTTGTCTTGTTTAGTAAATCGTGCCAAGTTTATTAATCAGAAACAGATCAGCAAATCAATGTGTACATGTTTGATGTTAAATTTTGATTCTGTTAAATAAATGACCGCATTTATTCTGATGGGTCAAAGATAAAATGGCGTCTCATGTCACTTATTAAAACTCCACAAGTTATCTTGGTCACATGGCAGAAATTTAACTCGAAAAAGAAAGAATCCGTTGTAATTGAACAATTAATATTCTTTGTGCTTTAACTAGCATTAAGGACAATTAATTAGTAGTATGTTACAGTGAAAGCTGTCCCTACATCACTACACTGCCCATCACTGCAACTTTCACTGTTTTTGGGCTCTGAATGATCACGTCTTCATTAATGTTTCTCATGGTTTGATTATGGGGGCTAATTGTCACACTACTAACTCCTGTAATTACACATCAGTCACAAAAAACTCAAGAAAATGTCTGATAATAATGTTGTTACTGCTCTCAGGGATTCAGCCCAACCCTGGACCCCCCACTAATTATAGCACACCAAATGACATTAAGAACGTGTCTGGGCTTCATTTTCTGCATGTAAACGCACGTAGCCTTCTGAGAAAACTTGATGCCTTGAAAATTCTGGTCAGTTCTTCTGGGGCAGATGTAATCTTCATTTTTTACATTTTTTAGGATCATTTAACACCTTACCTCCCCATCAATCTGGTTTCAGAAAACAACACAGCACACCAACTGCTTCATTGTGTAGGAGTTGTGCTTTCCCTGGTCTCTGTCTCCCTCTAGTGTTCTATATTTGTCTGCTTCCCCTCTGATGGCTGCACCTGTGATGTTTCACAGGTGTTCTGCGTTAGTCTCGTTAGTGTGTGTGTATTTAAGTCTGTTTGCCTGCATCCCTCATTGTCTGGTCATTGTGTCACTGTGATGCCTGTTCTGCTCCTTGTGTCCTGCTCCTCGTATCCTGCGTCTTGTCCCATGATTTATGTAAGTTTGCTGCCCCATCAGCCATCTTTTTTTTGTAAATAATAAATTATTTATTTATATTCCCTGAGTCCTGCTTGCCTGCTTGCACCAAATGGGTCTCCTGCCTAGAAATCATCACACAATGACCAGACCAAACCAAGACCTAGCAGGCAGCCCGACTCTCACTGCTCTGTCCCTGTAAGACAAGCTGTGGGGTCATTTTAGAGACTCTGAGCCTCCAGCTATACCCCCGGCGCTTCCTCGGTTCCTGCTCCTGAGGTTCTCACAGCTGCAGCCCCTGTGGTCGCTCTCATGCCTACTACAGTCCCCATAGTTATTCTATCTCCTGCAGCCTCTGCATCATCCATGCTATGTGAGGACCCAACCTGTCCTGAGCCCACAGACCCAGATACGTCTACTCCAGATCCTGTTGTTGCACGCAGCCCCCGTGGTGGATCCCACGCTGCACGCAGCCCCCGAGGTGGATCCCACACTGCACGCAGCCCCCGAGGTGGATCCCACGCAGCTCCTACTCTGCCCACTGAGGTCCTTGCTCCTGCTCCGAGGGGGTCCTGGCAGACGCTCCTCACTTCTCCTGCTCCGAGGGGGTCCTGGCAGACGCTCCGCTCCTGTCTGCTCAGCCGTGGGGGTCCAGGCGGACTCCGCTCCTGTCTGCTCAGCCGTGGGGGTCCAGGCAGACTATACTCCTGTCTGTTCAGCCGTGAGGGTCCAAACGGACTCCGCTCCTGCTCGCTCAGCCGTGGGGATCCAGACAGACTCCGCTCCTGCTCCAGATCCTGCCTCCGAAGATCCAGCCGCAGAAGAGTTCCTCGCTGCTGAGTTTCTCGCCGCTGACCCGCCTGCTGAGGCCCTTACTCCTGGTCCTTCCGCGGAGGTCTTCGCCCCTGGTTCATCTGAGGTCTTCTTCCCTGGCTCGCCTGAGATCTTCGGTCTCGATTCGCCTGAGATCTTCGGCTTTGACCTATCTGAAGAATGGCCCGATGGACGATCTCTCGGCCACCTGCCTGACCAGCCCCGGCCCGATGAATGGTGTCCCGGCCTCCTGTTTGTCCTGCCTGAAGAATGGCCCGATGGACGATCTCTCGGCCGCCTGCTTGACTGGCCCCGTCCCGATGAATGGTGTCCCGGCCTCCTGTCTGTCCGGTTCCTGTTCCAGTCTTATGGATGGCTCCTGGCTGCCCGTCCAACTCTCTTCAGTCCTATGGTCGCCCTCCCGGCCGCCTGGCCGCCCGCCCGCCCTGCTTCGGTCTGATGGTCGCCCTCCTCGCCGCCCTCCTGACCCATTCCGGTTTGATGGACAGCCTTCTGGCCGCCCGCCGGAACCTTGACCTTGCGAGGACGGTCACCTGACCGCTCAGACTTTTCTTTTTGTGTGTACCTATTTGTGTTTAGTTGTGTACCCAGGTTTTGGTTTCGTCAGTTTGTTTGTCCTCCTGTTTCATTGGGCCCTCCATCCTTGTAGTAACTCCCTCCACCCACCCAAGTCAGGGCTTTCTCTGTTGCAGGTCCACGACTGTGGAATGA